TATGTCTATGTTTGAGGCTTTGAGCAAAGATATACTATACGAGAAGATTAAAAAAAAAAAAGTGAAGGAAGAGTTCTCCCAACGGCATTTTGAAGTAAAACCTATCTAAAAATGTGATATCTCACTTGAGTTGGAAAGGAGAACGAAATATTCTTTATAACGTTTTAAAATCGTGAGACTAAAAGCGATACGTAACAAGCCAAAGTAAATAATATACCAGACACCGAGCGATGTGCCAGTATTCTCGTTGGACTCTTAAAGTGGCTTAAAAGGTGGATTGTGAGATCTGGGAAAAAACATTCATTTCTCTCTAACAGACCCATATGTAATAGGTCTTCCAGGAGACATTCAAATAGTTTAAAAAGTCTTTAAACTTAAAATAAATACCTCATAAATCTAGATTTTAATTATCCATTGTAAATGTGTAACCATCTAAGAATAAATGAAGTCGCCTCACTTAAACTGGAAGCTCTGAAAGCCCTTGTTACATAAATGAAACAACCACAACCCGTCACTTCATGTAACTTAACTTTATCACGTGTTAATTTGAACGAAGAATGTCTTCGCTCAAGCCCCTACTGCACTATCAATAGAAGCCATGCAAAAAAGAAACAGCACGACCACTGCACTGCGTTTAGCTTGACACCATTGACAACATCACTAGCAAACTCAATCACCACCATCTGCACAGCCAACACACTCACCAAAAAAACAAGAAACCACGGGCTCTGCAACACAGCCTTAAAAAAAGCTCCCCTATTCGTCACCAGTCCCATAGCAGCAAGCAAATTAGCAATCTGGCAGAGCACAAAGGTATTGAATATCATGGTATGCCTCACATTCTCCTCCATGTGGGGCATAATCTCCTGTCCCAAGTACTCAAATAGCAAGAAAACAAATACTTGACATAGGACATGGATTACAATCTTGTACAGAATGACTTTAGTTATGAGAGATTGATTCCTATCCCTCCCTTGAAGAGGGGCTTGAACTTCCTCATCATTCAGCTTCATTACCATCATCAAGCCTCCAAGAAGGCACATAATCAAAGTCACCCATATAAGCTGTAATGTGGCTATGGGAGACTTCCCGGAGACCATGGTGCAGACCAAGGTTATCACAAGCCCAGACACTGAAGCAATGAGCTGAATTTGATAGAACTTTTGAATGTTGAGATAAATGCACCTGCTAGATTTTAGTGTCTGGTTCAAGGATGTCACATCTTCACACATGATATCACAAACCATTCTAGATTCTTTACTGCTCCTATGTTCTTGGAGAAGCCGAATATCAGCTTCCATCAAAGTCGGAACATCCCTTGATGTCAAATCAGGCAAGAAAGCAACAATGTTACCCTCAGCTTTCAGTTCTTTTATTAACAGATGCTTGTCTTCAGAGGTTGCCTTTCCCATAAAACTGATGTTCTTCATCAGCTCATGTCTCTCAGTTCCATCAGTCATCATTATTTCCTTAAATCTTTCACCTTCAACCACGTTGTTCTTGAGGTCCCACTGAGTTCCAAGACCATTAACCATGTTTATGGCCTCAAAAAGCTCATCTTCTGATATTAGTATGATTCTTGCACCAATGTTTTGGAGATCCCTTAAGGCATTTAGTGTTTTTTCATGTGAGAATTTTAGACCTATAAATCCAAGCAGCTTTGATTCTCCTTCAAACAACTGATGATCATTCCTTCGTTGTTTACAAGCAAATGCAATGGGTCTTAAACCTCTTTGTTTCATCTCTCGAATCACGTTTTCAAATACGTCTTTTTCGTTTTCTATGTCGTGAACTATGCCTCTGATATCATAGTATTGTGAGCACATACTCACAATACTTGATGCATCCCCATAATAATGCACATGAAAAAGGTTCGCTTCTGTATCCATTTCACTACGTTTGCTCACCAAAGCTCCAATGCCCTTTTCTGAGCTCAAGAACTTATGATCAATAATGTCAAACTTCTGATCAGGAGCTCCCAATTTGTTTTTCAAGAAATGGACCAGATCATTCCCTAAATGAACAGAAACCTTGGGATCAGAACATAAAATTTGAGCTGCTAGCTCAAGGCTTTGAGAAATATCAGTATGAAACTCCATATCAGAGTTAATCTTTTGTTCTCCAACAAAGAACTCACAGAGCTCCACCTCGTGAAATGATAACTCAGCAGTGACATCAATACAGATAGCAGAAACAAGGCCCAAAGTTCCACAAGCTGATAGATTCAGACAGTTTCCTTTGAGGGATCTCATCTTTTCTCTCCAGAAAGAGAGGGACACAGTGATTGCAAATGGCATCCCATGCTGTAATCCTATCGCCATGGTTAACAGAACAGTAGCCAAGAAGGAAGCTCTCGACCCAAACTTCAAGAACATCCTTTCAAAGGCTTGAACCACAATGCCTGCCGTTAATTTCCCCTTGGTTTCAGGCCTATCATTGTAGTAATCATCATGGTGTTTACATAGCAAACGGGCTAGAACTACAACAAGAATCGTTAAAGACACTGTAAGACTAAACTTCTCCAAGAATTGATATGGCTTGTTCATCCTAGATTGGAACAGCGTCTCCTGTGAAGGATGAGTAACCAGCTCAAGCAGCACTTCTCCAAAGGCTGTGTCATGGCCAACAGACACCGCAATCATCTCCCCTTCGCCATGTTCAACCACAGAGCCACAAAATAGAAAAGGGTTTCGATTAGGATCGATGTGGGAGTTGATTACTTCATCCAGAATCAGATTTTTGCCTTTTATAAGCAACCCATCTGCAGGAACACGATCGCCCTTATTCAAATGGATTCTATCTCCCTCCCTAACATCAGAAACAGAGACCCTTTGGCATAGTTCATCTCTTTTTACAGTCACTTCCAAGATGTTCTTATTCTTTAAAAGCTCTTTCTCCTCAGCTCTTTTGCGGTAAACGCTTAAGATTGGAGGGAAAAATACAAGTAAGAACACTGCAAGGAGTATACCAAAGCCATCATGCCATCCATGTTTAAGTCCTTGTTGTAATGATTCAATGGCAAAAGACAAACCAGCAGCAATTACTAAGAACAAGATTGTCCAGCTATTTAAGGAGTTCCATAAATAACAGCAAAATTCTTTTACGAACAGGAGAAATGAGCCACAGAATCCATACCCACGAAGTGTTTGTGCATCGATCTATACTCGTAAGGAACAAAAATCAAATGAAAAAGAAGAACAACAATTAGTGAAGTAGCTACAAGAAAAAGGGGAAAAAATGGTTACCTGTACCAGCGATTCCGAACGCAGAAACGAGACAGCCTCCTCTACACCGCCCAAGTCTTTTAGCGCTTTTAAATTCTTCTCTTTCACGATCTTCTTAAGACGCTGCTTCTGGATATCCCTTTCATCTTCAAAATGTACGTCAATAACCGTGTATTGAGACGGCGAAGGCGGCGGTGGCGAACTGGTTCGCTTCAGGCTGAGTACAAAGCGTATGCTTAAAACTAGTTGCCGGAAGCGAACCAGTTTGGATGAATTGCTGACGGGTGTAGCAACCAGCAACGGTTCAGCCCCATCATCGGCGGTTCTTTGAAACATCGCCATGAATCTACCGGAGAAAACTAATGAGCTATGAAACTTCTACGGCCATTTTTAAGGCGAAGCGAACCCGCTTACAGTAGCAATATCCAATCACTTTCTCGGAAGCTTCCCACTGTTCTTTCGCACCATTAACTGCGATTACCAAACTAAATATTAAATAAATATTTTTTTAAAATCGAACTAAGTAATAATAATAATACATTTTTTAATTTTTAAGGTTGGGAGAAAAAAATATGGGAACTTTAAAATTTTAAACTTAAAAAAATGTTCATGAAAAATTACAATAATTTTTACAACAAAAACGTTATAAAACTTTAGAGAAAAAATATTATTTATAAAGAAAAATAACTACCTTCACCGACATCGCCTCCTCTTTTTTATATCTATTTTCTATTTTTTTTAAATTAATAATAATATTTTAGAGGGAAATAAGTCAAAATTTTATAAATTGAGTTAATTCGTGAGTTTTCATAAAAATTAGATTTAGATTTAATAGAATAAATTTAATTTAATTTAATTTTTTTTTTTTTTTTTTTTTTTTTTTTTTTTTTTTTTTTTTTTTTTTTTTTTTTTTT